AAAGACACCTTCAAGAAAGTGAAAAGACATCCATAGAACAGGAGAAAAATACTTGCAAATTATGTATCTGATATATACATCTGGACATGTATCCAGTTTATATAAAAAGCTCTCACAACTCAATAATTAAAAGAAAATAACCCAACTAAAAAATGGTCCAAGCACTGAGTAGAATTTCTTAAAAAAAGATATGCAAATGACCAACAAGCACTTGAAAAGATACTCAACATCATTAGACATAAGTCAAATGCAAGTCAAACCACAATGAGACAGCATATCACACACACTAGGATGGCTATAATCAAAAAGACTGATAATAAGAGGTGTTGGTGTGGATGTGGAGAAGTTGGAATCCTCATACACTGCTGGTAGGAGCATAATTTGGTGCTCTCACTTTATAAAACAGTTTGGATAATAGCCACAAAGTAGAGAACACCTAAATGCCCATCAAATACCCATCAATTAATAGAGACATAAAATTTGATGTATCCATACAATGTAATATTATTGACCCATAATCAGAAATAAAGTACTGATACATGCCAAAGCATGGATAAACCTTGAAAACATTATACTGTGTGAAATTGGCCAGTATCAAATGATCACATGCTGTGTGCTTCCCTTTATTGTATGAAATGTTCAGAATAGGTAATTTTATAAGGACAAAAAGTAGATTCGTCATTGCCTAGGACTGTGGGTGGGGAGGTGAGGAATGGTGTGCAGGGTTTCTCTTTGGGGTGATAAAATTGTGCAAAACTGATCATTGTGATGGCTTCACGGTGCTGTGGATATACTAAAAAACATTGAATTGCACAAATTAAACTTGTAAGTTATATGACATATGAATTATATCTTAATAAAGCTGTCACAAAAAGATATATGAGCATCAGTTTATATCTCCAGTCAAAACTAAATCTAAACTGTAGTACCATGATTTGAAGCCATCATAGTGCAGGGATATATCATCCAGGAGACAAATGGACAATAAGGAAAAAGCAGTCTCACTCCGTCAGGCCCACAATTGATCAGGCCTTTATTAGAGTCCTGGATCCAGTTTTAATATCTACACTTTAATAAGAATGTAGAAAAATGAAAGAAGATCCTGAGAAGTTGATCATAGTGACACTAAATTATTAGAGACCAGAGCTTATAAGAGAATATTAAGG